CAGGACGATGTCATTTGTCTGTGATTTCCAAAACTGTTACCAGTAACTAGAAGAAAAAAAATCTGTTTTACCTCCTCTCAACTTTAATTGTCCATGTCTGATTCTGTGTTTTTTCTTGGTAGGACAGTCTTTTTCAGTCCCCATGGAGAGAGCTTCAAAGCTTAAAGCCACTGACTGGGTGTTGACATTAACATTCTGTAAGATTTGTTATAGGTGGAGTTCTCTTTTGTGGACATGTAGCCAAATGATATTTAACATTAAGGCGAGACACCACTGTCCAAAATGACGCTTTGCTTCAATCTGTCAATTTTATCATTACCATACTTTCATAAAATGTACAAAACATATAAAAACATTATTCTTTTGTCTATTTTTCACCAAGTCAACTGCAGATCATGTAAATGTGATCTTTCTTAGCTTTTCCAAGTAAAAGTTTGACCTTGTGATTCCATTGTGTTAGCTAATCTTTAACAGCCGTTTTCTCAAAATTACATGTTTCCTGTACGCCAAGTCTTCTTCTTGTTCGTCTTTCAAGGCAGTTAGATCATCATCATTTCACATACTGTTTCTTAGGTCTTATAACACAACATTTACAGAGGTTCTTTAAAATATCTTTTAGTCATCTCATTTTATGTGGGATTTTATCTGTAAATGTGGAAAAAAAGGATCTGTCTTACATATGAGTGGTATATTATTCTAAGTAAATCCATGACGGTTCTGTAAATGTCTGGCCATTTGGTATATTGTCACAATAAAACCAAAATATTTCATCTGACTCTAATCAATGTGCTGAAAAAATGAATTAGTGTGATATGCAAATCAGTGCATATTTAATAAGAAACGATCTGATTTGCATATTAAAAACATAAAAAATTCTAATATCTTCTATTTATGTATACTTTCCGCTTCTGAAGTTTCATTGTGATATGAGTAAAGTTGGAAAAAAAGCCTATTTGACTGTGGGGTCTCGCCTTATGAAAGGAAGGAGGTCTAAAATCACTTTTCACACATACCACCTTCATACAGACCACTCACTGAGCACTCAACAACTACAAAACAGACTCGTGCAAAAACTTGCCCACCTGACAGCCCTGTAGAGAAAATTGCTGAGGGAGAGCGCGCTCAGCCTCCAAGCTCAAAGTTTATTTACGACTCCATTGCTGTTGAAGTGTGTCAAGGGTCCTTGGGAGCTCTCTCCTGCAGAGGGTCTTGAGCAGATCGTTAATGGAGCTCTCAATGAAGCAACGAAGAGACAGAAAGAGAGGGTGACATTGTCTCCGTCTGAAGACTCACCTCTCTCTAATTGCCTCAAGTCCTATTGATTACCCGGGGCCCCTCACACCTTTTCCTTGTGATCCCTTCACGCTGTTTGTAATCCCATCACAGAGCTTACAGACCCACTCCTTTCTGTGTTCTGATGTGATTAGCAGTATTGATCAAAGTGTGTTCACGTATGTGTGTGTGTGTGTGTGTGTATGTCGGGGCACCTAACGAACGTGATTGCTCATAATTTGGACGCTGAAAAGAAGGAAGTAAAATCATGGCTGCATATTGATATACTGATATTTAGTTAGAGAGATCAAAGCATTTGATGATCAACTGCACACAAAGTCCACACACACACACACACACACACACACAGCCTACATCCACCGCCTTTCACACAAGAAACACACCTACTCTCGTGAAAACAGCAAAAACACACACAGACACCTACAAACCAATTCCAGCAACATACACCTAACCTGAGCCTCCACTGCTCCCCTCCTGCCAGGCCTGGAGGTGTGTTTAAGCAGCCGCTTGATCCCCAGCTCATTTTACCAGACATCCTTGTGTCACAACACACACTCTCACTGACAGCCGCTCTCTTCCCCCCTTTCTCTCTTTCTGTGTCTCTCTTTCTGTCCCTAAGGGAAATTAAGATGACTCCATCATTCCCATGCAATTAAATGTTCTCATGCTGTCTGGCCTGTGTGTGTAGGGGTGTGTGTGTGTGTGTGTGTGTGTGTGAAGAAGATGAAATGGCAGATCCCATGCAGACATTTGGAGAGGGGACTGGAGCAGAAAGTGACTACATCTAATCTCCCTCTATCTCTTCATCGATTGAAAGAACCCTGGACCCCAGCGATAACTCCTGCCAATTAGACAAGCCGCCACAGTTGCCGACCCGGTCGCATCTCAGTGTAAGTCACCTACTGTACCTCTTGGATCTCGCTTCAGCAAACCTGCTGTCTGCTTTTTGAAATTCATTGGAGTTCAGAAAGCTGCCTTTGGATTGAATAACAGGAACGTGGGCGGCAGCGCTATGTGGAATACCAAAAGAGTGCAAAAATACCAAATGATTGGGAAAAGCCAAATTCATGATCAGTAATATGAAGCAGCACCACATGTGCTGTCACAAAAATAAAAGCCATAATATAATCAAACCAAAGAAAGGATGCATTTTCAGCATTAAACAGATTATATGTGATGGTTTTGCTTTTTTATGAGAAGAAGAGTCCAAGAAGATTTGTATATTCTATGTGCTGCTTTAAAGGGTTAGTTCAGTTTTTTTAAATTGGGGTTGTAAGTAGATGGCAGTCAGCATGCAATCGCAGAAGCTAAGAAAGAGCTGTCTGACTGAAAATATTCTTAACGACACAGAATAATTTTAGGTGGGCTTTTTTATGGGTGGTTAATATACATTTTGCTGCTGCCCCCACTGCAGCAGTACATTGCTTAGATTCACACCCCTGTGTGCTTCTCTAAACTGAGGGCATGCCCACTCACTCCAAACTAACCCTTGAAGTCTACTGATTCTCAGTGTCCCTGTGTCAGAGCCATGGGTGTAGGTGGATATCCTGTGTGCACTCCTGTCAGCCCAGTGTTCCTGGTTATCAGTTCACTGCGGTTACGGATATTGGTCAAACGCTAGCATTCAGTGCCAACGCAGGAAGTAATGTGTCCTATATGTAGAAAGGCTGAAAGTGAGGGTGTGGGGGACTGGGAGTGAAACATGTACGACTTCCCTGCAGCAGACCGGAGTTCCATCCTGGCGCAATCCAGCACGTAATGTTTGCTTTAGTTTTTATCCATAACCACTTCTTCCCCTAATCTCCTGCTTTTAAAGGGGCACTCCACTAATCGAACACATGAGGTTCAGTTCAGTTCTCATGAGGAAATCTATAAAGCATGTGAAGACAGGAGGAGCTTTGTAAATTCTGAGAAAACAACTCTCATGATGTCATTGGGGTAATCTCAGTTTCAAATTGGGACTACAAACTGGAGGAATAAACTGGGGACATTGAGTTTGAAAGATGTGAGCGATCATTAGGCAGTGGGTGTGATGCTTTCCTGTTGCATTATGAGAATTGTATTTTCCAGGTTTTTTGGGCATGACTCACAGTAGGGCAGGGGTGGACTGGCACAAGAATTCAGGCCGGGAATTTGACTCGACCCCAGGCCACCTTGTTCACACAAACAACCAAACCTCAAATTTTTGTGGACAAAGCTTTTTATATACAGTCTATGGGACAAACCCTATTTGTTGATGTAACAGGTACCAAACCAGGTGTAGTCTTTGCCATGTTCATCAACTGACTTTTGGGAGTGATCATTAAAGTAGCGTATGTGAACACTGAGTTTTCAAGACGAGGGCGGAGCTTCATCACGGTGCTCACCTGCTAACAAGTCATTTTATACCAAGTTTACATGACCCCGGAGTCACTGAGTCTGTCTGCGTCGCGGCTGCCGGGGCAGATCGCTGCCTTTCTAGTCTGTGCTCACACCAGAAGCGCTGCATTGCGTCCCAGAAATGTCTCCCGCTCCGCTCCAGAGAGAAACAACCAGTGTACTTTTACATAGAGCAGATGAACTGGGCAGGAAGTCAGACATTAAACAGTGAGAATCCGGTCAATTTTCAAAATAAAATACCCTGTACAGACTCCTGATCGTATGTCAATAAACACAGTTAAAACAGACAAAAAACAAACATTTTAATTAGATAGCCCTATTAATCATATTAGAAGTACATAAAGCAAGCACTAATCAGCAAATCAACAAAATCTAAACATGTCAGCAAAATCACACATGCAAAACGCTCTTATTCTGAAATGCTCCTTGTGGGATGACAAACTAATGCGGGCCACAGTGAAGAAGGAAGTAGAATCACAAAAGCACAAATAACAAGTCATTAACATTGTGCAGGCTGCACACTCCACTTCCAGTGGAAGTTGAAGCCGGTCAGAGGACGGTTCACACGCTGCCTGTGTGAGTCGGGGTGATAGGCTACATAGCCTAAGTCCGCCCCTCAGACTTCCCATGATGCCAAGCGTTGAAGGGAGTTTTGTTCAAATTTGCTAATAAGTTTGCCATTTGTTTGAAATACAATGTTACTTCATGACTGATGTATTCTTAAAACGTGTCTGCTTAGAATATGTTTTTTGTAGGTAATTGTTATTGTTGTGGTGGTTTTACCACTGAAACCATGAGTGAAAGGACTGTTTCATTTGATAAGATGAGTTGAAGATTCCTAACAGCTGACAGAGAAGAGTGGCATTTGTAGAAAGTGATTAGTGTGTGTGTGCGCGCGTGTGCTTACTCATGTTTGTTAAATGATCCTTTGTCCATGTGCAAGGCTATCAGTGGCAGGCCACTGGGATTTGGCCTGGTTCTCCTGATGGCAGGATAAAAAGTCAGGATATCTTGTTCTCCACAGGTTCAGTTTTGACTAGTGTTTAATCCATTGCTATTAAGTACCTTCAGTAAGTAACTTCATGGAGTATAATAGTAAATTGTTGGACACTTTAAATTCCCTAACCTTAGCTGCAGGAGTTTGTCTTTAGTTTCAGTAGATCATTTTCTCAAATCACACATCTTTAATTAAATGTGTTGTGATTCCATCCAAGCCTGCCAGTGTAAATATTCATTTAGGCCCCCAGCTCAGTCTGTCAACAACACACTAGGGCAAGGCTTTTTAATTTCTCATTTCAGCAAGCTCATGGGAAACACTATCCACCTACCTTTTTCTTGTTGGTCGGGCAGATGTAGAAGCTGGTCACCACGATGGGTGTCCCTGGCATCAGGTTGAGTTTGGTGTAGGTCGTGCCATAGTCGGTAGACCTGAAAGCAGGCAGACAAAAACAAGAACAAGCAACATTTAGAAAGGAAACTTTGAGGAATATTTATAATAATATGGTAATTTTCCGTTTGCAATGGTCCCATGAACTACAAAATCTCAATAACAAAAGACATTATGGTAATGATTTGGAGAAAAGAACCTCTAAAAAAAATGCCTGCTGCACGTCCAATATGTTGATGGTTCATTAATTTTTGTAACTTTTCTTTATTCTTTAGCACTAAATTCTTCTTATCCTGCATATTCACACAACAGCAGCTCTATGAAAAACCTTTTATGTTGACAGAAAGAGATTAAATCTTCAAAAAGTCCGGGTAAGGGTGACCTGCTCATTCTCCCAAACTGCCCTGAAGACATTTTATCAGCTCTCTGTTCACCACATTACCACGGCCTGAGCTCGGTGACAAATTAGAAATGGCTGGACAACCTGTCAGTGCCACGACAATGCAAAAACAGCCTCGGGGCTAGCAGTGACATACTGGCCAATCCCCAAATCTGGCAGCTTAAAGAGCAGGTACAGACTGCTTTGTGTGTTTGAGATTGATCGCTGGCTGCAGGATTGTTTCTCCAGTCTGGCTCAGTCACAACCGTCCAGCAGAGTGAAGGTGATTGTGACAGCTTTTGAAAAAAAACCGAAGAGGTTTCAGGTCAGCGAGGCTGAAGAGAGGTGACTGCTTATGGATAATTAATGCCTCACATTCCTGTCAGGAATATCCAGAGGAAAGACAAATCCAGGAAACATTCTCAACCACATAATGCGAGCAGGGGAGATTATGGCAGCACTACTGATTATACTGGATTAAGAAACTGAATTTAACTGAGGAGTAAATAGAGGTGAAAGAATGCAAATGTAGACTGTATTTCCAATCACTTATGTGCAGCAGTTGACAGCTTTCTGGGGCTAATTTGAGAGAAATCCAATGCACATAGGAAAGGAGACGCTGCAGCATTTAGCCAGGGCTTGAGGGTTCAACAGGAGGGAGGCTGGAAGAAGAGGTCTTGATGAAAGAGAAAGATGAGCTAGCACGTCAGCCTGGTTAAGGATGAGAGGATTTACTCCTTTGCACAGTGGGACATCATGCACTGGCAGACACACACACACAATAAGACACATACACCCGAAGCCCTGCCAAGCCATTCAGCAATCAGCTCTCCCAGAGTGCTCTGATACAGCTGGAGAAAATGGAGTGGCATAGCAGGGGTGAGCTGTTTCTCCGTTGTGAGCTGGCACATGTTTCCATCTTCCTCGCTGGCCTATGTGCGGTGTTTAACCCCGGATCGCTTGGAGGACACGGACAGATCTAGTGCTGATGGCTGTGTTAGCAGGCAGCTCAGTGCTTATCTCAAAAGCCCACTTGTGGATGGAGTCAGGGCCTGCTAGGCCTGGTGTGTAGAGGTCCACTGAGAGGCTGGATCATCAGGGTATAAGCTCAAAAAACACACTGGGCAGTTGGGAGGACAATAAACATTTTGTATTTGTGGATTCATCACTTGTATACTCTCTTTGTCAAACACAAATTCTAATTCAGCTTTACATTACTATTCAGACCATTTTTCAAAACGTAACATACATTTTTAGGTTGATTTCCTACTTTCCAGGCAGCCCTTATTTTCCTTTCATGCTAATAACACATACATTAACATCAATGTATAGACTTTCATGGCTGTGCTGTGTTGTTTATTTATTTTACTTGACTATTTCCCCTTTTCATTCTCCCTCAGTTGTTTTCTTACGTCTGCTGTTTATTGCTGTTATTTGGCTGGTCGGCTCCGGTTGTGTCCCCCCTTAAAACTCTCTTGTTAGAGTAAAATCTATCTGTCACAACATGGTATCCAGGCTGCTGGGCGGGACAGGTTAAAAAAAAAAAGAAAAAAGAAGAAGAAATGCAGCACTGTCAGCAGGTAGACAGACCTAAAAAAATCTACTTTTTTAATGCAAGAATCAAATTCCAAGTATTCTCTTAGTGATTTTTGCTGTTCATTGTTTGTCTTTGGGGTTTAAGTCCTTTTTGATAGCTGAATCTTAAAGAGTAACTCCACAACAAGCTAAAAACATCTGACATTAGCGTATTAAGTTGCTAAGGCAAACATGTTAGCAAAAAAACCACTGATGAATATCAGACCTCCACTCTTGTTTTAGCTCTTCTTTGGTCTCTAACAAATCTTATTAGCTGCTAAATATGTTCAAGTACAGTATGTTCACCAGCAAGTTGGTAACTTTGTCGGCGATTTGGTGGGAGTGTACAGTTGGTTCATTTGTACATTTTGCTTAAAAATCCTACCAGCTGCTGCTGGACACGAGGTTGATGAAAGCAACATTTTTAGGCCATAAAACCAAAACAAGTAGATGAAACAGCTTAAAAGCTGTGTAGAGCCCTCAGGATCTACAGAATCGATGATCATTTTCTGTGGACAACATTACACATAGTCATTTGGTCCATTGGTAATATAAAAATTTCAGTTACTGCAGCTTTAACTGTATCTCAAGTAAAACCAGTGGCAATCAGCATATAATGATATAAAATACTACTTCTTAATGAGATAAAACATAAAACAAGGCATGGCCCTTTGCTATAAAATACAGTAGCCTATTGTTTCACACAGTCACTACTGTACTACTGTACTGACTGTAAAAATAGTGCGGGTCTAAGTTGTTACATATTGTAATGTAAAAAAAAATCTTACCTAATTTTACCAGCATGCACAAAGCAGTCTGTTAGAGTGCATGTTGCTATACATGAAATTGGAATAAACTGTTTAACATAGAGGTCTGCAAAGCGTACTCCCTATTACATATTCATAGTCCTTTATTAGCAGGGGTGGAATGAGTGACCAGGGCTGGGGTGGCCTTATGCCCAGAAACACATCTCAATATCTCAACGCTGACCATTCACATGTGTACAAAAAATTGTACAAAAAAGAGTTTAGGCCAGCTTGATGTGGATGGAGTTGTTGGATTGTTTCTCGCTGCACGTAAGGAGGTGACCGAACTTCAAAAAAATGTAATTATAAAATATACAGTATTTATGAATTTTAATATTCAAGTAGATGCGGCTGGTGTGTTTTTTTTTATATAAAAACCTTGCCTAGTAGCAGCATCTATTAGACAAAGTGTTTTGTTGTGACTCGTGAAAAACATCAACATGGAAACTGAAAAATGTTGCTAAGTAGGGGGGAGGAGTCAGGGCGCAATGGAAATATGTTGCACCACTAACAAGGCTAATTTGGGGGTTGGTGTGGAAAGTCAGCAGACACAGCACATTATATGGCGAGAATAACGATGTTGAGTTAATAGGAGAGTTCATTTTGTACTGTCTGCCATCCAGACCCCTGGATTAATAGACTGGTGGGGAGCTATTGTAGATTAATGAGGAATAATTACTTTGAAACAGCGTGGGGAGCAGATGAAAGGGGAGATGGCGGAGCACTGGGAGGAGGAGAGGGGAGAAGGGTTGGAAGAAAAAGTGACTAAAATTGAATCTTGCACTCAATGCAGCCTAGCAAAATGACATATTAGCAGAAAAGTAGGGCATCAGGACACACACACACACACACACACACACAAACCATTACCACTGATATTCCCCTTTATTTCGTACAATATGTACAAATGGTATTTCATTCGGGTGTCTTAGTGCCTGTCAGTTCAGGGAAACAACTCCTACAATCTTACCCTCAAACATCATAATCATGACATGGATGGAGAAACATTTGTTTCTGATGCACAAAGACTTAAACAAGCCACTTGGTAGAGGCCATACAGCTGAAACAATAACAGTGGAAGGGCACACGCCACTAGAATACTGAGGCAGGAAAGGGGAGCGAAAGGCAGACATGGAAGTGTCTGTGAGAGTGGATGTGACAGAGACAGACACCGTGGGTGAAATTGTATTTTCCTTGATGCGCTTGAGAAAACAGAGAATGTGGAAGCACTTTAGGGTGGCGACAGGTGCTGATTCAGATTTAATGTCCTAATATGTCAAGGTTGCTCCCAGCGCCTAATGTCTCAGAGAAGACAAATCGAGAGCATCAAGGCGACGTGTGACGAAACGTAATATCAAAATATAGAGAAAGTGGGGGAATGAGGATGGACGTGTAGAAACAGATTTCTAATGAATTTCCGATATATCCACCTTAAGATCTTCAACATGTTAGTCATGAAGGTGTATCCTTCAAGGCATGTCTATTCTCACTGTGCATGCATGTCAAGAGGTATGTGCTGTCAAGAACTAAGCTAATACTCTGAAACAGGTTCAATCTAAGCTAATGGCAGAGCAGAGCAGTTGCCGTGTTAAAGACGAGCCAGGGGACATACAGTCTCTGAACGCGACTTGACAAGCGGAAGGTCTGATTTGTGCAGGGAGCTGAATGCTGAGGCAGACAGATGCTGTCAGTCTGAGTCAGGCCCGAACAGCCAGACGGCCAGACTGTTGACAAGACTCATCAGTGACTGGCTTACATACAGATGTCCCAGGGAACTCAACTAGCAATTGGGGGGCAGTCGGGAAAGAAGCCAGAGTTCCCTGACTAGACAGAGAATTGAGCCGTATCTGCCTGTGGAGAATGTGTCAGAGCTTTCGATCATCTGTGCAACATGCTGCACTGCCACCGACACACAAGGCTGAGAAATATGCAATTCATTACAACGCCACCACTCCGCTGACAAGAGTGATGAAGCATGAGGCAAATTTGCTTTCTTGCCAGGGTACCAATCACTGGGGTTAATAGCTGCATCCCAAAAGAATTTGGAGCCAGATTTTGTCCAGAGCAGTTAAAAGCCCGGGTCAAGAGTGATCCAAATGATATGAGCTTGTCTATCTTTCTTTTTGAAAGAGCAGGGAATTAGCCGGAGATGGGAGCTTTTGATTTATCGCAGCAAAGGCACTTGCCATCAATAGTGTTAAAAAATACTGCTGGGAGAGGGCCACCATTAGCGTTACAGCTGATTTACAGTGGTTAAAAGCAAGGCATCATAAATACCACC